TACGTTGGACCATTCCAGATTATGCAACGAGTTGGTGTCGTGGCGTATCATTTGGCCTTACTGCCTGAGTTATCTCACGTGCATGACGTGTTTCATGTCTCCATGCTTCGTAAATGTCAACCTGATCCGAAAGCCGTGGTACAATGGTATGACGTTCCGATACAGTATGACGCGACATATGAGGAAGCACCAGTTCAGATTATTGATCGAAAGATGAAGAGTTTGTGTCATCGTGAGATCCCATTAGTAAAAGTTTTATGACAGCACCATGGAGTTGAGGAAGCGACATGGGAGCTTGAAGCGACGATACAGGAGCAGTATCCGCATCTGTTTGCAGTTTGAGGTAAGTCCTAATTTCGAGGATGAAATTCTTTAAGGGGGCGGTTGTAACACCTCGAGAAATTAAACGAGATTAATTTAGGTAATTAAGATTTATTAGTGTGCCTAATCTGGTTTAATTAGATAATTATGTTCATTAAATGTTTCTGACGTGTAAATTTAAATATTTCCAAGGGATTTAAATATTGTCAATATTTATATTTTCCTCCCAGAAGTGTGTGTAGACACATTTCCTGAACTGTCTTCTTAAATATTTTGGCACTTGTTTTCTTTTCTTTTCCTTTTTCTTTTTCTTCCTTTTTTATTTTTCCTTCTTGTGCACTCTCTATCTATTTCTCTCGTTCTCTCACACTCTCTCCCATTTTTGTCTTAAATCAACCAGATTTCAAAACAAAGAAGAATTTCAAGGAGTTTTCAATGTCAAGAGAAGGATTTGAGGTAAAATTTCTGAAAACTTCTCTTGAATCTCAGATTTTTCGGTTAGAAAACTTATTTTTGGTTCGAAATGGATTTTCATGGATTTTGAGTAAAATCCCGGTAGAAATTGGGGATCATTGGTTCTTTGGGCTTGATTTGTAACTAGAACCTGGATTTAACTGTTTCCCCTTGAAATATTACGGATTTGAACTCGAGATTGCAGGTTTTGGCTGGATTTTCTTCGAATCGGGCCTGTTGGTCGAACTACTTAGTTCCCACCGGTCAACCGGACCGGTCAACCAGTTCCTCCTCCACCGGCCGACCGGTGGAGAATAACCTCTCTGTCACCGGTCGACCGGTGCGCACGGGGTTTGACCCAGGTTTGTCCAAAAATGTTGTCTTGACCTTGATTTTTCGAAGAGAACCCAAATTAGCTTCATTTGGAGACCTAAAATAGATGGATTAGCATCTTTAATCCATGTTTTGGAATCAAAACCCTTGGAATGATGATTTGAAACATAAAATGATTTATGAAATCGGTAATTGAATCAAGGCACAATGATAGGAAATCAAAGTGTATAATTGAGATTGAATTGCTTTAGGAATGATAATTGGATCCTAAAGTTTTGTTTTATATTAGTGCTAGTTGAGGAGTCGAATTGAAAGCTTTGAGGAAGCAAAAGCCAGAATAGTGCAACGCTAGCCACATGTTTGGTACTTGAGAGGTAGGATTCCTTATCATTTTCTTTGATAGCCTGTTTTTAAAAGAGTTTTGGCCTTGCAAATATTTTAAAGAAAGAAAGAAAAGTAATTTAACACAATAGTTTGATTTTAGCTATTGGAATTATAATGAACTATTTCAGAATTTTTAATGATAGATTTCTTAAGATAAGAGATCTTGCGAATCGGTAAACCTGTTGATGGCCTAGATAGGATATGAAGAGTGTATCATTGGGGGCAGAAACCGAAACCCGGACCGGGCCACTACGGTAGTGATAAAGCTTGTGCTTATGGTTGTGTAAATAATTGATCAGAGGATAAATTACTTGTTGATGCCTGTAATACCAAAATTTTAAGTTTATATTTCATTTCAGAAAAAAGATGTGAGGTTCCGGCTATTGTGTTGGAATTGACTATCTATATTTACTTGCTTATTTATTCATTTACTTACTCGTTCATTTATTTACTTGTTTATAAAATTTATTTCAAAATACATCCTACTGGGCATTTCGCTCACGTTTTATTTGTTTTTATAAATATTAAACCCCTCCCAGGCGACGCTAGGAGTAGTGCTGAATAGTTGAGATAACTGCTACCGCCTGATTTTGTGAGGATTGTGATCATCATCCCTGTGTATAAATGTAAGAATTGTAAATTTTGTAAACTCTGAACTTTAGACTTCTAGACTGTGGTTGATGTCTATAATGTTATTGACATGTTCATGTATGTACAATACTGTATATCATGTGGGTGAAGTCCTGAACGATGCCGGAGGCTTAGTTTTAAACCTTTTTTTATCAGAAAGTGAGCAAGTCCCCATAATGTGGGGCTTGTTTAGAAATTTCCTTAATATTTTAACTTTGGTTTTGATTATTATACTTCTAAATGTTTAATTACTTTCTTAATCTTGTTTAACTTCTAAATGAGCCTCCACGTCACTAACCCCGGTTTCGGGGCGTGACAAATATAGTTTTCAAAAGAATCCCTACTTAATTTTTTCATTGTGCAATCCTTATTATTTTAAAGTTATTCTTAACTAACGACTAACTAAGGTCTCTATTATTAAAAAAACATAAGTAATAATACAATAATTAAAACTTAATACATTAGAACCTATAGAATTTCCTCCACGTGGCACGTGACCTCAATTAGTATAATTAAAGGTGTCAACTTCACATGAAAAGGTAAAAAGAATAATTGTTTCATTTCTAATCACGTACTTTTTACTTAAAAACCTTAAGATAACTTGGCGGGACCTATATAATAAGAAATGGGGAAAAGGATTAATGTCAATTATTCTTACACCTTTGATATTAATTCTCAGTTAAAGAGAAAGAAGCTATAGGTATATCCTTCACTCCTTACGTTGATTATCAATTTATATAAACATTCTCTAATCTTTCATAATCATTAACAAATATAATTAGTTCCACTTGAGGCCTTTATAAATTATATATATATATATATATGAACTTGAAGGAGGTGAGTTAGTGAGATGTGAAATTACAGTTAGATTATCAACAAGTACAACCACTAAATACAAAATTCAAACAATTTTTTTTTCTAGAAACAATTACAGTTAGGGACCTTTTTCGGTACACTAACGTACTGGTAGATCACTTTTTTGTCCATCAAATCTACATAAAATTACGTAAAAATAAAAAAAATACACAAATTTAACAATTAGAAAAATTTAACATATCTTAAGCGCACTATTCTTCTAATTAGTATATATGTAAAAATAAATTATATTTCTTTTTACTATCGAATACTCTTGTGGAAAGTCATGAGTGTGGACTACAGCGGCATTGACCATACGAATAACAACACAAGGACAAACAATGCCACCACATAAGAAGGGATAGACAAAACAGCTAAACAATTCAATTGTCATTAGTGCTGTGTGTATTCCATTCTCATAGCGGCAGTTGGGAATCAATACAACAGTACTATGGTTGTTTTTTTTTTTTTCTTTTTTTTCTTTTTCTTTTTTTTTATAACGTACAGTTGTATATGTTGGCCTGATAGAGGAATTAAATACTGTTTAAATGCAAGGACCCCAAATAATAATGTCTCATAAAGGCAATTTGCAGGACATATAGGGAAAACTTTCCACATATAATAAAGTATCAAAAACTATACATCTATCCTTCCCTTTCCAAGCCTCTTGCTTTCCAGGCACCATAAAATGCCTAAATCTATGTCCTTAAAAAGCTACCTATTTCACCTACTTCCCTTTCCTCAGATCGCATTAAATAAATTAATATTCGGAGAAATATTTCAAACCTACGTGTGTTGTTTGGTCATCATCTTTACTACTTTTTTTTTTGTTGCTAAAACATCATATTACTTTTTTAATAAAGAAAAGAAATTTCATTCAACTCAAATAAATATTACAATTACGTATATTCTTATAAAAATATCGGTTATAATAAACAAGACAATCTAACTGTTATTTCTACCAAAAAGATATAGAGTATTTCTTTTTCATGCACACTCTATTAGCACATGTACGTAATTCCACAAAGAAAATACAAGAAATAAATGTTTAACTTTGATACAGTAAATATACTGTCTATGTCGTTTTTTGTCCGCGTAAAATCTTATAGCTAGAACTGACACTCAAAAGTACTTGCATATATATGACAGGAAATTACCAAAAAACATAAAAACATAAAAACAAAAAACAAAACAAAACGAAAAAAAGAAATAATGAATCACAATCAGGGTAAATTCTAAGGCTCGTTCACTTCGTTGATTCGAGTTTAGAATTTAAGTTTTTCTACAGTAAAAAGCTCTCACAAACAATCATATCTAACTTTTTTGCTACAGTAAAAAGCTTTCACATAAAATCACATCTCAACTCGAATTCTAAACTCGAATCAGCGAAGTGAACGAGGCCTAAGTTGTGCGAAGTACTGATCACCACTATAGAATGAGATCTATTTGTATGCATATATTTTTGTATTTATTATGAAAATACTAAGACTAAAAAATAGAAGAAAAAATAATAAACAAATCTTACCAGAGAAATAATTCTCTAACGATCTTCCTCTCCACTCTTCAGTATGGAGATTCGGAACTAACATAAGAAGAGAAGATGGAGGGGGGAAAAAAGAAGGATTGTTGACAAAGCCTAAAACTTTTTTTTTTTTTTTTGTTTTGCTGAATCAAAAGCAAAAACTTAGACGTGACTTGCCCGGTCCACATACTTTCAGCAAAGAAAGAAAAAAAGCAAAAAACAAGCATTTATTTATATATTATTTATATATTGGCAGTACTGGTAATTTGGCATGAAAATTATTTGAGAGACACTTCCTCTAGTAACAAAGGAAACATGATATAATCCTACTCTACAGTCCACACATGTATGGTGGTCTCCGATCCCAAAAGCAAAAAACATATACTATAGCAGTATAACATTAATATCACATTAATTAGCTAGTACCCCATAGATTAATTAGGGCAACCTATCACTATATTAAATAATATAACATTTAACATATAGTAATGCATGCATGAGATGATGAGAGTACGTCCTATGATATTATCAAACAGCGTACGATTAAGCAATAACAAACATCACCAAGATTTCCAAGATCAACAATACGAACTAATTCACATCCTAGGCAAAATAACAGCCTTGAGAGGATTCTTCATGACAACCGTGAAGGCAAACGTCTCGGTCGGATCCGGCGGGCCGTTCGGAACCGGCAACCACTTGAAGGCGTGAACCATCTTGGCCAGCAGCAGGTTGATATGCAAAGTGCCCAAAGTCCACGCAGGGCAGATCCTCCTCCCGGCGCCAAACGGCACCATCCTCACTCCCTTCGTCCCCGTCACGTCGACATCGACCCCGTCGCCATCCAAGAACCTCTCCGGTCGGAACTCCATCGGGTCCTTCCACATGTCGGGATCCTCCGTCAGCCACGCCGTGTAGAACTCCACGCTGGCGTCCGCAGGCACCGTGTACCCGCCGAGCTTCGTGTCCTTTACCGCCGCGTGTGACAACACGAAGTGGCTCCGCGGGGGGCGCCCGGAAGCGCCCCTCCCCCCACCAACCCGCAGATCTTCGGGTCCTTTACCGCCGCGTGTGACAACACGAAGTGGCTCGGCGGGTGCCGCCGGAACGTCTCCTTCACCACTGCACCGAGATAAGCCATCTTCTCAACATCACTCTCCAAAACGACACCGTCTTTTCCAACGGTCACCACAATCTCCTTGTAAAGCTTCTCCTGAACGCTGTGATCCGTCACAAGATGAAACAGTGCCCACTCCGCCGCCGTTGCACTTGTATCCGTCCCGGCATTTATGATCTCCGAGCAAAGCGTGACGAGCTCTTCCTCTCCCAATCTCCCTCTCCCAGGCGCTTCGAGATCGAAAAGCGAATCGATGTACGCCGCTCCGACGGGACTCACCATCTCCTCGTCGACTTTTCCTCCGCTCTCAATGAACTTCCTCCGGTTCCTTATCAGCGGAACCAAACACTCCAACTGCTTCCTCCTCAGCTCCTTCGCTGCCCTCACTTGCCTCCGGAAAAGCGGCGTCAAAACCGGCAAGAAATCCGGAAGCTTCGGAGTCGTGATCATCATCACGTCCTTAAGCACGCTCTCGATGTGCCTGATCCTTTCCTCCGATATCTTCGCTCCGAAGCAAAGGCATATCAAGACGCTGCAGATCGTCATGCGACAGTTGCTCATGACCTCAACAACGCCGTTTTCCAAAGCCTCCTTTCGAAGCCGCTTCATGTGGTTCTCCATAGCCCAGCTTCGTATCCAGCTGCACTGCCGTATTCTCGCCGGGTTGATCAGCTCCGTCACGAAGTTCCGCCGTAGGGCCCGCCAGAGCGGGCCGTACTCGGCAGAGTTGATGGCGCATTTCCCGACGCTGAAGATGAGGCGGATCGGGGAGTCGGCAGGGCGGCTGGCGAACTCCGGGCCGCGCTGGACCAGGGCCTCGTGGATGAGCTCGGAGCTGGTGACGATGATGAGCGTTCGCTGGCCCATTTGCATGGTGAAGATTGGGCCGTACTTTTTCCTCAGGTCGCGCATGAGGAAGATGAATGGACGCGGCTGGAGGATGACTTTCATTAGGTTTCCGACGAGAGGCCAGCCCGGTGGGCCCGGCGGGAGATTCTTTGGTCCCCCGCCGGTGACGGACCAGTGTTTCCACCATAGACGGAGGAAGAGGAGAGCCGCGAAGAGGATAACAATATCGATGATCTCCATTATAATGCAACTGAAGAAGACGAAGAAGAAGGTGTGTAAACTGAAAAAGGTGGTGAAATGAAGGGTGGTTTATAAGAGATAAAAGGGAAGCGTTTATGGATTGGTTGGGGTGATTCCGCAATTGAATGAGCTCTATCTACCGAGGCCAATCGTATTCAATTACTTGTTCTGACACATACAATAGCTGTTCGTACGGACTGCTAGGGTTAATTACACTAGGGTTAAAAAAAAGACTCTGTGCTTCGTGTTTTATTGACCGTAAATAGTCAATGAGCTTCTTGATAGGTGATTTTTATCCTGAAAGGAAGCGTCTCACTTAGACTTGTTCACTTCGTTAATTTGAGTTTTTAATTTGAGTTGAGATATAATTTTATGTAAAAACTTTTTATTATAGTAAAAAATTTAGATGTGATTATTTCTAAGAGCTTCTTAATGTAGCAAAACTCAAATTCTAAACTCAAATCGGCGAAATGAACTGCCTTAATATTTCTATATACGGCGATATAGAGCCCGGCGATTCATCCTGAATGTATATATCCACTATTAGATCATTTATATTCGTTAGATTTCAATATATTTTCGTAGTACTTTGTTTGATTTTGATATGAGATGATGTTTAATACACATTGCTTATTAGTGTTTGATCACGTAACGATTAAAATGTATTGGAGCTCATGAATTTGTTCTGTGTATAGACTGGAAATTTCCAAGTTCTGATTAGATAGATTGGAGGGTGAAGAAGGATGAAAAGGGATAGATTGGTTACATAGGTAGGGTACTGGGTTGGTTGTGTTTGTGTCACGACCCTAAAGATAGGGCCATGATTATTGGGATTTAATTTAAAATTTAACTTAATTAAACTAGACTGTTTAACAAAATCACAAAAATAAATACATAAATATCAATATAGTTTGCTCCGTAGACTTTCTTTCACAAATAATATTTAAAACAATCCATAAAGTCCAAGAAAAATAGTACAACTCTGGGACAATGTCGATCAATACAGTTTATATATAGAAATACAATACATCTTAGAATTAAAACTGTAAATATGAAATAAACGTACTGTTTCGATCCTCGTGCCTTCAATCCATTGGCATGCACTTGTCGCGCTATAAATCTAAACCGCTAACTCTGGAAGAGGGTTTAAAACATTGAAAACATAATAGTAAAAGTGAGCGGAATGCCCAATAAGATACAATTTTATAAAACATTGTAAAGAAAGGTACTCATGGTCTAAAGACATACACCCGGAACTGATCATATAATTTTATAAAATATTGTAAATAAAGATACTCACGCTTCGAAGACATACACCCGAAACTGATCATACAATTTTAAAAACATTGTAAATAAAGGTATTCACGGTCCGAAGACAATAACCTGGAACTGATTATCCTTGTTAGATAAAGAAAATACTCACGTATAGTAGAAAAATATTTGTAAAATGAAAATATACAGAGTCATAACACCACTGAGCAAGAAGTGGATCCGTACGGGTTTCGGGTCCTGCCCCCAAGGACACGATTCCCATATCCCGATCTCTGAGGCCACACTGCGTTTTATTATTTCTTAAAATATTTCATTTTAAGAAATGATATTTTTTAAAAATCTCATTTCCAAAAATCATTGGAAAGTCAATAACATTATTCATGTTATTCCTTTAAAATCATTTTTTTTTCAACATGTTTTGTTCTAAAACATTTTCATTGGCCAAAACCATTTAAAGTAAGGCTAATAAGGATATGGACAAGAATATCCTACCTCTTAGCAATTTAATATGATAACTTCATGATGTCCAACCGTCTATTCTTGAAGCTCCACGGCTCACTCTGAACCTCAATTCAATTCACCTCGATCTGCGTGCACAATTCGATAGACTTTTTAACGAAGTCGAATTGACACAAATGGAGGTCACTGTTACGTTTAGCACGTCGAAACGAGTTAGGATATGGTCTTAGATCTTCGATCAGATGTCGGGAACCTCAAGAACTGAGACACTCTGGAATCCGGCCACCGGCGGCGGTGAAGGTTGCTGATTAACGCCCAAAAGTGATGCTCACAAGCGGTCAATTGTAGCACAGAAGGGTGGTCGTATCCACAGAGAGATAACAAAATAACAAAAATGACTGACAGAATAAGAGCGTTAGAGAAAAGTGAATTAAAGAAAAATGAGAGTTTTTGGGATTTTTGTTGCAAATAAAATAGAAATGATGGAATTTTTATGAAGAAAATGCAATAATAAAAATGGTAAGGTGTCGAGAATTCCTAATACTCACCAATTCAAGTTTTGATTCACAAAATAAAATAATCGAATAAATTAAATCTCCATGTTGACTTCGAAAATATTATTACTACAAGTTATCCAAAATCGACAATATATCAATTTGATAATATTGCAGTAAAAGACAATTTGTAAAATAATTGAAATAACAAAACAATGCGTGACATAATTACATAAGAAAAGCGTGACTGAACTTATATAAAAATTGGCACACCCCCTTGCAAAACATTCTCACAAGTTCTAGAGAGAAAATATGAGACTGACAGCAAGACGACAGAAAATTGAATATTCAAAGCTTCCAAAAATCTTAGGCTAACCCCTTTATTTATAGTGTTCAGAGGTTGTCTGTCAAATAAGGAAATAAATAGTAAAACTATAAAATTACAAAAGAAAAGGAAACAAAATAAAATTACACATAAATTAGGAGAAATCATATATTTGATTTGGGAAGAAATCTGGTAATTTGTTCTGATTTTTGGGGAAGGAATTCATATTCAGCACAGGAGGGACACGTGTCGAAGCTTCATTGGCAGTGAGGAGAAAACGCGCCACGTGTCGCGCTCGGAGTGGAGGAAGGGCGCTGGCGTGTGCTGGCAGAATGCTGTCGCGTGGACAGCTGGCGCGCGCAGGATGGACGGAGGGCTGGCACGCTGACATGCGGGACCCACGCTTCAAAGAGTTGTTGGACGCGCGGTGATGGCTCCGTGGAAGGAATGCGCTCGCTGAGGAACGGGCGTGCTGGGGACGCGCGCGAGGAAGAGTCAGGGAGCGTGGAAGTGCTGGGACCCACGCGGACTGATGCGACTTGGCCGGCTCAGCTACTCGGCTCAATCGGCTCGGCTTTCTCTCTGATGGCTTGGCTCCGGATGGGTGAAAATATAGCTTTCATGGCTTATTTTTGTGTGGCTTTTTACACTGCTTTTTATCTGTAAATAATTAAGCAGAAACTAGACAAATTCCAATTAAAAATATTATGAATAAAAATAATGGAATTGTTTAATTAAAGCTTATATATTTTAATATTGTGTAAATCAAAAGTAATATTTAGGGTGCATTTTCATGCACTAATCACAACCCTCAACCAGCTTATTGCTAGTCTCTAGCAATCCAAGCGCAAGAGAAATCATGTCACAAAGAAAATCTAAGTCTCAACTTGCTTAGTCACCTGAGTATTTCAAACAAACTGTTAGCAAGAAGTCAAAAGATACTATCAAGATTATTTCAGTCATAACTCCAGAGTCGTGTGTGTGTGCTCCAAACCGTAACCTTCTTACCACTAACCATAACACATGCAACTTTGAAAAATTCACCAAGCAGAAGTCTCAACTCTATTGATCTCACAGGTGTCAGAAATATTTAAGTGTAAAGGTTTTCTCTCATGGAGTTGAAAGTGAAACAATCAACGCTCAGTGTGTGGAAGGTCAAATTTAGGACAAACAGTCAAACGAACATTGACCAAAAGATAGGTTAATCAACTACTAGAACATTCCACCATTCTTACCACAAACCAGCTTTTGGGATTTCATTTAGGTCAAACAGAAATTTACAAAAACGAACAAAGAGCCAAAAAAAATGCATAGGAATATTACTTTTTTTTTTTGGCAAGAGACAACCTGCAATAATGAAGTGAATGTAGAAAGGTGTTCTTTTGACAAACTACTATATAGCATCAAATGTGATTAACACCAAACTACAGGATCTATGAAATGTTGCTCTTGCTAAGTTTTTTTTTTTTTTTTTGAAAAGTAAGAAATGAGGCTCTATTACATAGAATCATTCCTATCTAACCCAAAATCCATCCCTCAAGCATATGCACCAAGCATACCACTAACCATGTAATGTTGTTCTATCAGTGATTTTACCAGCTCAAAAGATCAATGAAAGTTCAAAAGTCATTTTCTCAACTCTCTTAACTCACTAAAAATCAAGCACTTAAACTCGGGAATTTTCTCAGCTGACATGTATTAACATCCATCTTACCACAAGGTTTAGCATGTGCAAAAAGAAACTTTAGAAGTCATTTCTTAGTAACCAAGACATCAAAAATCGACTCAAACCAAACATTTTGAAATCATACTCAGATAACTTCACAAAAATTTTAACCCAAATATCAACATGACAAAAATCACTCTTACGCATGAATATGCTTACCACCCCCAACCAAAATCAGACAGTGTCCTCAGTGTCAAAAATTATGGAAATATAGAGAAAGAAGACACATGGACGATGGGTATTCCACATATGAGCACAGCTTGAGCTTCCTAATATGATTCTCCAAAAACACACATAAAAAAAATGTCAAAAGAAACAAAGAAAACAAAAAAATGAAAATATGGTACAGGAGATGTGAGCAAACTACTCAGGGCTGGTAAACGGCGTCGTCGAGAATGCTCTTTTCAACCTGGTTCACTCGCTCTAAGTAATTTTTCAGACGCTGGCCATTTACTTTGAAGATTCTCCCATCGGTCGGGTCCTCAACCTCGACAGCACCATTGGGAAAATTGCGTTTTACTACGAACAGGCCAGTCCACCGCGACCTCAACTTACGGGGTGGAGATGCAAATGGGAATCATAGAGATGAACCCGTTGATTCGGCTCAAAATTCTTCCTTAGGATCTGTTTATCATGAGTCGCTTTCATTTTTACCTTGATCCTAGAATTATGCTCTTTCAGCATGTCGATCAATCGTTGTTCTTGCAATGAATCGAGTTTAGATGACATGATGACTGGGAATGTGTCTTCATCTCCCAAGAATGCATGT